CGGGCCTCTCACTGTTGCGGCCTCTCCCGTTGCGGAGCACAGGCTCCGGACGTGCAGGCTCAGCGGCCCTGGCTCATGGGGCCCGCCGCTCCGCGGCATGTGGGATCTTCCCGGGCCGGGGCACGAACCCGTGTCCCTTGCATCGGCAGGCGGACTCTCAACCACTGCGCCACCATGGAAGCCCCTTTAACTATATTTTTAAATGTTTCTTGATTTTTAAAAATTTCTGTGTCAAAAACCATGCAGGTTTAAAAATGAGGAAAACACATAAAAAATACTGGGTGCCGTTTACTAAGAAGACTATTTATAGATAGTAATGAATAGCTATAATTGTTGTGAATAGTTTTTACTTTTAGAACATAATAGCTATATATGGCACTTTTCAGCCAATTTTCCTCAGCATGTTATCTACAGTGAAGTTATCAAATCACTGAAGGAGGTTAAAAAAATTATTTTTTGCTTTCTTAACACGGCTTTGTTCTCTCTCTTTTCTTTTTTCTCTGGGTTCAATTAACACCCCCATCACAGACTGTAGTTTTTTTTTCCTGAAGTCTACTGCTGTATTTCACCTTTTTTCACCCTTCCTTATTATTTTCGCCTGCTACTTCTTTTTATTATAGCAATTACATTATGGGATTCCTAATCGTCGTCTTTTTATAGCATTAGGGAATAATTTTTGTGTGTGCACACACGTGTGTACATGTGTGTGTGTGTGTGTGTGTGTGTGTGTGTGTGTGTGTGTGTGTGTGTGTGTGTATGTAGGTGGAGGGGACACCGTGGAAGGAAGCTATATATTTCAGGGAAATAATTCTGATGGGATTAGGCCTTGAACAGAGAACAGGAGTGTGGAGTGAAATAACTTCAGACAATTTAGAGCTGCCTCTGATCAGATTCCTTTTGGGGTTGACGTGGCAGGAGTGACTTTTCATAGAAGTTCATCTCTAGCAGGCAAATGCAAAACCTTTTTCTTGCTGATGAGAGAATTCAAGTATTTGGGTTTTTTTTGTTTTTTTTTTTGTGGAAGGGACAGAGAGAGAGAAGGGGAGCAAATGAAGGGGAGTTACTTGATTCAGTTTTACTTGAACCTCTGTTTCAGGTACAGCGATGTGCTAGGCAGAAGTCAGGTGATTAGACCCCGTACTATTTATTATAATCTGGTTAGAAGCGATAGACCTGCGATAATACTGCTCCGTGGCAGACACAATATGAGCTTATGATGAGAAGCGCCCCTTCTCTTCAGTCGATTTTGTGTCATCCACTTTTAGAAGTGGATTTGGACCAATTCTGGCACCTGAGAGGTGAAGAGGAGGATGCAAAGAACAGCTTGGTCAGACCTACCAGAGTGAGGTCTTTGGAAATTTGGTGTCATTTCTTCTAACAATAGGATGTCTGTGAGGATTGGGAATGAAAAAGATTTAAGTGAAACTGAGGAAGATGGAAGAGGATTTATGAGTGGGGAAACGCAGGGGAAACTTGTGACTTAGGCCCTGTGGGGTGTTGCGGGCTGGAAGG